GTGTGTGTGTGTGTGTGTGTGTGTGTGTGTGTGTGTCGTCTCTCTCTCTCTCTCTCTCTCTCTCTCTCTCTCTCTCTCTCTCTCTCTCTCTCTCTCTCTCTCTCTTAAGAGCTAGTCACGCGACGCCCGCACCTGCTGATCACGTTGCACAAAGCCGTTCCCTGAAATATTAATAGTACCGTACTGAAAAGCAAGTAAAAACATATATTCACTTTTTCACAAAATCTAAATGATTCTGTTCTCTTTTTATGGTTAAATTGCTGCATTATACTTCCCATTTTGCTATTCCGTTCTATGTGAACAAACACTCGTGACTCATACATAGTATATAGCAAGCATTTAATGTCGTGATTAATATATAAAATCGCCCAGGTTTTTTTTATTTTTAACTAGTTTTAAAACAATCTTATCAGGTAAGAATTTGAGGATATTAGTAGTTAGTACTTTAGTCCCGTTAGTACTTACTTTTCATGTAAAAAAAATTGCAACAAAACTTTTACAAATATGCACAATAGAAAATTCGTGACGTAGCAAATTTAAATCCGTAACAAGAGAACACTACGTTTGACTGGAGAAATATTGTGGATAACGCAAGATTGATTGAAATTGCGTAATGTTGTAACGGTGATACTTTGATTAATAAACGACAGATTGTTTTATCACAGAGTATCAGCGCAAAGCTAAGATAACTCAACTGTGTTGGAAATGTAGTTTTTATATTAGTTAAGTGTTAATTTTTAAGTTTAAATTAGCTCGTTAAAATTGCTATAAGGTACTTTTTAAGTTTACTTTTCCATATCCTTTTAACGTTGTTCGGATTGGCTGGGAAAGCGTTTGAGAAAGCAAAACTAGAATTAAGACTAATTACACTCTTTCAACATAAACGAGCGCTCAAGTGAAATATCTATATATACACTATACCAGTTTAATCAGACATCAATACGACCCTCATATAGACTTTGCATGTTGTCAACAGTAGGCGCAGTATATAGTAACAAGAGTGTGTATAACGGCACAATCTTTATTGATTCATCGTACATTATAACACCATCATACATGCCGACAAGACCTTCTTGCTCTCCTCTCTCTCTCTCTCTCTCTCATCTCTAGCGTCTCATCTCATCTACTCTCATCTCAGTTCTCTCTCATCTCTCGTCTCCTCTCTCCTGTGCTATATATATTATATACATAATATATATATACTCTCTACTCTATATATATATATATATATATATATATATATATATATATGCATACATACATACACTCTTTTTAGTACAATATTATATCTTAATCTAGCTTCATTATCTCTACTGCACATGCATCTTGTATAGCGGGCGGGTGCCATTGTGCATTCTTCTAGTGTATATTTCGAGCACGACAGCGCTCACGTCACACAAGCATGAGCGTAGGGTAGATCAGGGAAAAGTGAATAAATTATTAATTAGAATATTGCTCAATAGGGGTTTAGTTACACAACGAAAGCGACACACGTCAGGTGCTTTTGATTACACATGCGCGTGCACGTATAGAATTTTTAGCTGACAATTCACGTCTCACGATATTGTCATTAGTGAAGCTGGTAATAATATTCGGTCATGTTAAAGAGAGAGCTTCGTAAGATGTGGAAGCCGTAAAAACGACATCGGTACAACACCGATTGCTGCTTCATCATCACAAATATTTCGAATTTTTAAAGAAAATGTTCCTATATGTATCCCTACCAAAGCTTTCACGTTAGGACCGCCGGATGGCATTGAGCTCAAAACATTTCCTAGGAAAATTGGAGTCTGGAGAATTACACTAGTTAGATTCCTCTAGTGAGACACCTCTAGTTAGCATGCGATTTAATAAAAGAGACGAACGTGGAAAACAGCAATCATTATTGTTCATGGTAAAAATTGGACCAGTGTGGCTCCTTATCGGTACGTTATAGAACGTATCGTATAGTCGTTGTATTAATGCAGCTAGCGTGCGGCCCATATCTTAAGAGTACGCCATTCTTCTGTGATGAAGCCTTCGCCTAGAACAAAACGCAACATATCTCGATCACTACAATTAATGTAACACGATAACAGAATAAAAGTACTAGTATTACTCTACGTATAATGATTATACAATGTATGTATGGCCATGATTAAATTGCAGCCCGATAAATTTATAGCGATTAAGCCGATGACTTTAATAGCAAATATTAATGATGATTAGATATGTGTTGTTACGCAATCATGCACCATATTTTTTACAGTGATGAAAATGATAACGACACGATGCATTCCTACCGAATCGAACGCTTGATGGAATCTCTGACGTCATGCTGTCCACCATCCGCTGTCGTTGTACTTTCTTCGACGTCGTGCGAAACGTTGTCCATGTCACTGTGCTCTCGGTGATATTTCGATTTAATGACGTCACCATTTTCTGCGCTGTCTCCGTGCGCATCACGCACGCTGCCCGGGTGCGCGCTGGCCTCGTTGCTGTTAATGTCATCGCTAACATCTGCTCTGCTAGATGCGTTGTCAGCTTCCTCGTTGCCAGAATCCTGGGTGACGTCATCCAATGCTCGACCAGCGTTGTCGTGAAAATTTTCGAACAGCGTTTCAGCTGTGACATTTCTCACGCATCGGTAGTTATATGTTCCCGGTATCGTCCCTGCGCAAACCAAATTCTCGGCGCATCCCATCGGTTGACCTCGCGCAGGAAATCCTTCGTAGCATGTATCACCTAGACCATAGACAACATCAAAACTTTAAAACGACGCATGGCAAAGGTCACTTTTAGGATGAATCGTAGTGAAGGGATAACGGATCAAATGGCAGATTGGAGAGTTTTTCAAGGACTGATCAAGAGCGGAACGCTGTCTGAATGCGCAGTAGCCCACAATTAGCGACTAAATAGAAAATTCGGAAAAAGGCTGTAGGCAGTAACATACCAACCGTGTGTGTGTGTGTGTGTATGTGTGTGTGTGTGTGTGTGCGTGCGTGCGTGCGTGCGTGCGTGCGTGCGTGCGTGTGCGCGCGCGCGCGTGTGTGTTTGTGTGCTGTGTTCATGGTTTCACTTTTGATGACATACACACGCGTATCTTGGCGCACACGTCACAGCAGCGGCAGAAATCCTTCGTCAGGCCATAAGGACATTGCTCGGCGTGTTTTTCTTCACGGCCTGGCAAGCTACAGACGCTGAACCACGTAACGCCTGTCGCCGATCCCCGGGGCAACAAGCACCGACAATCAATGAAGGCCTCCGCTAATGCGACACAACTACAACAAACCAAAATCATTGTGAAATCAAAAATCAGAGATTTAATAACGATAAATTAATAAAATTAAATTAAACTAGAAATTTTGTTTATACTTATTTATAAATTATTAAATATTAATTATTAAAATCTTTTTTTTAATTAATAAAATCTTTTTGGTAAATTAATAAAATCAATGAATAAATTCAAATTTTCAAAACATTGATAGCGCGTGATAAAAATCTATGTAAAAAAATGATGGTTTCTGTTTCACTCCCTCGTTGATAGGAACTGACGCGTCACACACACACACGCACCACACGCACGACACAACACACACCACACACACACCACACACACACACACACACACACACACACACACACACACACACACACACACACAACACACACACACACAGACAACTATTCTCTCTCTCTCTCTCTCACACACACACACACGCACGCCCGCACGCACACACACGCACACATACATATATACACAAGTCTCTGTTCACAGAGACTTGATACTTTTCAACTGAAAAAAATAGTGTATTATAATATGCTGATACACTTACCACAATAAAACTGCAAAAGATCCGAGTGTGAAACGCATCTTTGAAACATAGTAATGAATTATTCTTACTCGAAACTATATCGTGTAATATAGCGCTGGTCACTCACTACTAAGTTTATAGTGCTATATCTTTTACGTGCCTAACTTAAACCTTTGCGCATGCGCAACACTTTCCTAAGCAAAATCAGCAATCATCTACCACCTACATACAACATGCGCACGTGTATGGCCGTCGTATATATTTGTGTGTAGCTGGTGCCGCGATTGTGTGTATTTTGACGCGGGTTTAGCCGAAGCATATAAGTCGCGCCGCGTCTCAGACAATGAGATCGATTGTCAGCGTTCCTGGCACACGCACAACCTGATAGAGATGTCTAAATAGTAAGAATCCGTGTTGCTATTGTTTGTAATAGATTGCAAGGTGGTGCGGGCCGGGAACGCTGCGCAATATCTCCGAGATCAGTATTGTGTGTTCAGATTGTATCTTTCAGTGGGTTAGCAGTTAGAGCTTGTACGCAGCTGTGGCTGTGATTTTATAATACGTAAAGGACAGAGGAAAGATAACGGGTGTTGCCACCAGCACAATATTGGATGCTAACGGCAATATAACCATATACCCATATATATATATATATATATATATATATTATATATATATTATATATATATATATATATATATATATATATATATATATATACGTGTATGTATACAATATATTGTAATATCTTACACTTAGATAGATGCACAGATAAATCAACTTTTTGTCCTGCTGATTCTTACATTATTCACTGCAACTAACCTAGTGCTGCAGATGTATGAAGCGTTACTGCAAATGTGTTTCATAGACGGTTCCCCTACGAGTTACTGCAGCATCCTATAATTTCACTTGATTTAGTCATGGATGGAGAGGCACAAATCGCCCCGACAAGAGGTGTAGCTCCCTTGACTCCTCCCCCGCAGTGTTCTACAACGCTACGTACGGCAAAACGCTCTCAAATATGTTATTTCATATCACTCTTAGCATGCACGCGTTTTTAACACCCCTGACATTATAAAAAATGAATAAAATAGTAAAGGCATTCGGATACTTAAAAATCTACCCATATTATTATATAGGAAACAAAATGCAGGCAATTCATTGCGTTTTATGTAACGCTTATTGCCATGTAAATCCATGCAATGATCGCCTGAATGTAATCGAGGTTTAATGCTAGTTTTGTTTATATTTCGATATTAATTTTACATATGTCGGGTACAAATTTTATGAGAGTGATGATGAGTTAAATTTATTGCACATATGCCATACCGTAGCTAAAAAATTAAAGCTATATTAAGGTACGCTAAACCGACTTTCAGTTCATATGGCACAATGTAGGTTTTGGAGATACGAGGTAGTTATAGATGCAGCAATTTTTTTGAACCAGAATTCCGTATGTCAAGTTTCTGATTTCTAGTATTAAGACAAAGATCGGTAGTTTACAAATTCACACAAATAAATGAAATGTACATTGATTTAAAACTTAAACATGACAAAATAGTTAAAATTCTGTAGGAAACCTTTCATAAATTAACATAATTATTTAAATAAACAAAGCAAAAAAAATAAATAAATACAGAAATATTGAACATTGTGTAGAATTGAAACATCAAAAATAGTCACAATTCTGTACGAAACCTCATATAAATTCAGGGGCGGGGTTCCACCCCATTATAAATCAGGGTTCAACTAGTTGAAACAACGCGCAATATTTTATTAAGCAACATAGTAAGGTATAACGGAGTTGGTAATTTCAAGTGTCGTGTGTCTCCAGTGGTAATCACGTATTAGTAAGTGTATGTGTGCGTGCGCATGTTCGTGTGTGTGCGCGCGCGTGTGTGTGTGTGTGTGTGTGTGCGTGTGTGTATGTGTGTGTATTGTGCGGTGGCCGTGTGCGTTCGTGTATGTTTGTGTGTGTGCTGTGTGTGTGTGTGTGTGGTGTGTGTGTGTGTGTGTGTGTGTGTGTGTGTGTGTTGTTGAGTGCAGTGTGCGTCGTGTGTGCGTAGCGCGCTCATGCGTACGTGTGCGTGTCGCTGTGTAGCTACCGATTTGCGCCGTTTCATGAAAATAATGAATCTAATAAATTCGTCTCTGCACGATAAAAATGTGAGTGCCACCGTCGCATCGATCGGCTGTGCAATACATCATCAAACAGGTTTGTACATCGTACACGCGTCTTAAACGAACCTAAACTCCTGCATGCTTATTGATTTATTAATCGTCGATAATATTCACAAAAGAAAGGCTAATACTTAAACAACGAACATGTTTTGGAGTATGAATTCCTTTGAGTAACACATTAAACAGATCGTTAGCACCATGTGCACGTGACACCGTGCGGATAGCGAATTCGTCTGTACGCATTGGCAATATGTATATCAACCCCCATGTTGACACGACTTCAGTCATTTCCAGCTTCGCTGTTTGTATAGCGCACTGTTGTTTTATGTCTTATCGGCGACGAAAGACAATATGTTATCCGGTGAGCGAAATGATAACAGTGTTCATATATCGATGCCATTAATTATCTATCAATACAGTCAACCGTAGTACCGAACAATCCTAATTCCATCCATCCATTCATTCACTCTAGTCCATCCATTCATCCAGCCAATCCAATCCTCATCAACATCCATCCATCCATCCATCCATCACATCATCCATCACATCCATCCATCTCCATCCAGTCCATCCATTACATCCATCCATCCATTCCATCCACCATCCATCTCATCCATTCATCCATCCATCCATTCATCCATCCAATCCATCCATCATTCTGCATCCATCCATTCCCCTCCATCCACCATCCATCCATGCCATACCATCTATCCATCCATCCAATCCACGTACATCCAATCCATCCAATCCATCCACCAGTACTATCCATCCATCCATCTCATCCATCCATCCATCCATTCCATCCATCGCACTCCATCCATCCATCCATCCATATCCATCCGAATCCATTCATTGCATTCATCCATCCATCCATCATCCATCCATCCCATCCACTCCATCCAATCCATCAATCCATCCATCCATCATCCATCCATCCCATCCATCCATCCGCATCCATCCATCCATCTATCCATTCATCCATCCATCCAATCCATCCATCCAGTCCATCCATCCATCCACTCCATCCATCCATCCATTCATCCATTCATACATCAATCTATCCATCTACCAGCAAATTCCTCGTCCGGGCGTCGTGGTGTTGAGAGAAGAGCGACTCATTTTTAGATAATATTACAAAGTTATAATATTTTCAAAACTTTACTTGCATCTATGAATTGTAATATAATGAATGAGCACAGTCATACTACTACTATCGTATACTATATTACTATATAGATATATTTCATAATTATTACTATATGCTAATAAAGTATACATACTATATATTATTATATATATGTAATAATAATATATATATAATCTATTATAATATATCAGGAGATAGATAATAGGGAGGAGTGTGACTATCAATAAACAAGGGAAATTCGTCATTTACGTACGCCTTATAATACCTACGATTTACTACGCGTAACTCATCCAACTGAGCTCAAATCGGACACCAGTGCCATTCGCCCCATCATCGTACGAAATCGTTCCTCGTAGGACACCCGCAATCGTAGATTACAGCCTAAAACGTACCGACACGATTCTCCTTCTCTGGCCATTAAACCAACGCCATTGCTGCGCCTATAATTGCAGACAAAAGCAGCCAACCTGGCTGTGTTTGCCTCTCGAGATTAGCTCGAATGTGGCGTTGTGGCTTTCAGGAGATTGGAGATCGACGCCAACACTCGACGAGGCTAAGTTCATCTTGGTTGCGCGTGGGTGCGTGAGGCATGCCAGCTATGATACAAGGTGGCCTGTGAGCCTGGTGTACCGGTGTCAAAGGTTATCTCGCCGAGTGTTGATGCCTAAATCTCTAGCGAGCCGCATTAGCTGCCTTTTGTTTGAATCTATAGGCGCGCAATGGGTTGGATTGTATGGCCAGAGAATGGAGATCGCCGGTCGTACGTTTTAGGCTGCTATCTACGGAATTCGGTGGTGTTCTACGAGGAAAACGATTTTCGTACGATGATGGAGCGAACTGTAACTGTGTCCTCCGATTTGAGCTTCGAAAGTTGGATGGCAGTTAGTGTAGTAAATCGTAAGCGTATATATAAGGCTAGTAAATGACGATTTCCACTATGATCTTATTTGATGTCACACTACCTCCCTATTATCTACTCACTGATATATATATATATTCTCATTTTATTTAGGCCGTGATGCGAACGCACACTGGTCTCTGACATCACCATCCCCGAAATGCAACATTCTGAATTCACGGGCGCGGATCCGTCGCGAGCAAACAAGGCCAGACAACTTGTACCCGCCTCCGGTGCACTGCATTAAAAATGCCATGGATAACAACCCCATGACCAAGTGGATTGCTAATTCCAACACAAACGAGGAGATTACGTTCGATTTTGTATCACCTATTAGCACCACCGGTATCTGCATCAAATACGGGATGGGTAGCGTAAATACTTTCGAAATGAAAGCTAGTAACGCTCCCGCGGGTCCTTGGACACCAATATTCCAACAGATTCCTGTACCGGACAGTATCAACTATACTCTTGCACACTACATTTCGGGATTTTTTTCGTTCCCAATGGAGTTTCGCTATTACAATATTCTGGTCATAGACACGTTAGCATCGGACCCAATTGCAATATCAGACATTTACTTTCAAGTTACAGGTAATTCTACTATAGTTTTTACTCAATTGAATTTACATAATATAATTTTACTAATAATCCTAATCCCTTTTTATCCGTACGGTGATCAATTTATTTAACAAATGTATATGCACTCGCTTAATTCCAGTCAGATCCAACTAGTACAGCGAGCTAACGGCTGACAATCTCATCTCTCTATTATACACTCCTTAGTATATTTATACTTGATAATGACAAATTATCTACTATGATTATTTCGTTAATATTATTTACTTGGCAACTACATATGCCATGCTACAGCTTTAATATTGCTGGATATGTAGGAGAGTCATCGATCTACCAAAACATATTGATTCGTGATGATAGATTTATTAATTTTTTTAGGCTTATATGTAATTTAGGGAGCAACCCATAATATGTTTAAGTGATTGTTACAGTCAGTGATCGAGTTACCCTGGTTGTTTTAGGAACATGCGCCACTTTACTGAGAGCAAGATAATTATATGAAGATAATACATTTATAAGATAATAATAAGCAAAAATATGCTAATAAGGTGCTAGGATCAACAGTTAAACGTTGAATAATCAACGCCTGCAGCTAGTACATCCTATCTCCACACTTATATTATGATGCGTCACTGATATTTCCATGTTATTGTTAATTTTTTATTTAAATGCATGTTTAGGTGAGTGCACTGACATGTGTAACATAAACGCTTACTGCGATACTGAAGGCGCGACCCCGACCTGTGTATGCCGAGATGGGTGGTTGGGTGATGGCATTTATTGCTACCATAGTAAGTATTTTTCCTGCTTCAGGACCACTGATTAAAAGCTTGGCACCTATATTTGGTATCTGGAATATTGATATACTTAGCGTTGCCTCTTTGCATGAGCCCTTTAGCGTGGCGTTCTGTCATGTGTTTCCAGCATAGACTGTCTTGACTTTGCATATCATAGAAATTGTGATTGGTATATATGATGTTGACACGTGACATTCTGTATAGGTGCGTTCTGACGAAGGTTTGCCTAGCGCCAGAAAACACGACGAAACGCGTGACAGGAAATAAAAATTCATCATCGCGCTTCAAGCATAAACTTGTATCGTATGTGATTTCAGCTAACACAATTTGCGACTTGGATTTTGGCCAAGGTATAGTGTGCGGAGGGGACGCCATACACGGAGGTTGCTACGCCGATGAGTACGGAATTGAAAATAAGAGAACCGTTCGGTGCTTGTGTTTTCCTGGATGGCTTGCACCACTATGCTCTGAAATGGATCCCTCGGGTAACAGAAATCACGAGATCGGCTGAAATTAATTAAAAAATATAAGTGAAATAGGAAAAATATCAAAAGAGACAAGAAGTAGAAAAGATAAATAAAAGAAAAAGATAAGAAAAAATATGATAAAAATATGAGTTGCTTTACGCACCTCACAGTTTACGCCAAAGTATAATTATTTTAGCCGTATATGTTACCAGAGGTAAATAAAAACGAAGTCATTTGTTTTTATTGTACATTGTAAAATTGTAAATTTATAAATTGTAAATTTGTAAAGTTTGTAAATTTGTTTTTATTCACTCCTGGTGTTATCAAGCATACGACAATAATCTGCGTAAATAATCTCAGCAACTATTAACAAACTGTTATGACGATGCATATTTGTGGTGATACAATCGCATATCTGTTAAACAAACAGCTTTTTATATTATTAGCTAGAGTAAGAGGAACTGATATAATATATACTGAATTTTCCATATCTTTTTTCCAATTTTTTCCAATTTCCAAGCAATTTCGATTTGCAATATTATTTTCAATCAATTGTTTATTTCCAATAAAATTTGTAATGAAATTTTAATTCTAATCAAAAACGTAAAATGGTTGCAGTGACAACGACACCGACAACATCACTACCCACAACCACAACACAAGAGACTGCAGCGCTCATAACCACAGAAGCCGTGACCACAGCAGCGATGACTACAGCCGATCAGGCCTACCTACCGATACCTACTACAACCATGCCACCGTTAACCTGTCTTATGGAAAGATCTTCGATGAGTTATACCCGCATACAAGATCCCAGTGTTATTACCTACGCAGTGGAAGTGGTAAATACAGTGGTATTGTCCAATCTCCCAAATAAAATCCATAAATGTGCATCTCATTGTTCTGCAGATCCCGATTGCGTTATGATTGGTTTCGACATCCCAACTAACACTTGCTACATATTTCACGTGGCTGTGAGTGTTATACACTATTTTTCAGTGGGACAGGAGTATTTGTGTGAAGTGATATAGCCGCTATCGACAGAGGTATTCAGAGACTCATAAAAATTGTAATTTTACATCTTCTATTTGAGCAGCCGCTCATATTGGCTATTTGACCTTAATTACTAAATTATTACTTAATATGACTTGTTAATTATTAATTTGAATTATCTAATCGCACTGTTTGCTGGATTGACAATTGTAGAGGAAATGTCACTGAGGTTCTGAGCTTCTTTAACGATGAAGACTAAAAAAGTATCAGCAAAAAATCAGTATTACACAT